ACTAAGCCTAAAGTCTTTGCTACATTCATTACACTAATACGGTTTCTTACTATTATGGATTTTCTGATATTGTGTCTCCATGGTTAAGTTATCCCTGAAAGCTTTCCTACATTCATTGCATTTAAAAGGCTTTTCTCGGGGCGCCTGGGTGGCTTAGTTGGTTGAGCACCCCACTTCAGCTCAGGTCATGATCTGACGGTTTGTGAGTTTGAGCTCCACATCAGGCTCACTGTTGTCAGCCAGTCAGCATAGAGCCTGCTTCAGATCCTCTGTACCCCTCTCTCTGCCTCTCCCCCACTTGCACTCTCCCCCCAACTTCGACTCTCCCCCCCCAATAAATAAATAAAAAATAAAAGGCTTTTTCTTCACTGTGTATTCTCATGATGAGTAAGGGCTGGGTTCTAAGCAGAGGCTTTTCCCACAGTCTTTATATGTGTAGGATTTCTGACTAGTATGAATTCTCTGTTGACTTTAAAAGGATAAAGTTCTTTTTGAAAGCTTTTCTACATTCATTGCATTCATGGGGTTTCTCTCTGGAATGAATCTCTGATAATTGATAATTATTGAATCCTTCTTGAGTATATCTATAAGGTTACTTGTTCATGTGAATTTTATGATGAGTTAAAGGAAATGAGCTGGGGTACCCGGTTGAGTTGATTAAGCATCCGACTTTTGATTTCTGCTCAGGTCATGATCTCACAGTTTATGAGATCAAGCCTGTATTGGGCTCTGTACTGACAGCATGGAGCATGCTTGGAATTCTCTCCCTCTCTCTCTCTCTCTCTCTCTCAATCTCTCTCCCTCTCCCCCCCCCGTCCCCCCCCCCGGCTTCTCCCATGCTCCTGCACACTCTCTCTCAAAATAAATAAACTTAAAAAAAATCTTAAAGGAAATGAGTTGTTCAGAGGCTATCTCATATTCTTTTTTTTTTTTTTTAACTTTATTTATTTATTTTGAGAGAGAAAGAGAGAGTGAACATGAGTGGGGTAGGAGCAGAGAGAGAGAGAATCCCAAGCAGGCTCTGCACTGCCCAGTGTAGGTCTTGATTCACAAACCATAAAATCATGACCTGAGCCGAAATCAAGAGTTGGCCTCTTAACCAGACTGAACCACCCAGATGTCCCACTAACCCTACATTCTTTACATTAATGGGTTATCTCACCTGTATAAGTTTTCTTGTGGGTGATGAGGGATTATATTTAAAGGTTTTCGCACAATACCTTGTCGCTTCTCTGTGGAGCTTCTGTGTTCACATTCTAGGCCTTTATCAGTCATGACACTGTATGTTCACTCTTCTGGAGCTGGTCCTTCAGAAACGTTTTGCTTTAGGACTGACATCTTTGTTTCAAACCAGTACTCCTGGACTGTACAGGCACCTGGCAGAACTTTTCATATGTCCATCCAGGGCACTACCTCTTGCTCCAGTTGGGTGTTTAGTTTTGGCTTGACAAAATGAAGCCCTTCAGACACCAGATTCCCATAGTTTTTCAGCATCACATCCATATACATGTCTGCTGAATGGCATCCCAGTGTCTCTGTTCAGTCTGTTCAGCCATGTGTCTAAATGTCAGAGATTCCTGGATATGGACTCTTAGTAGCCTCGAGCTCTCTGTCTCCTTAGCTGTTCTTCAGAAAATCCTGTTAAATCAATGGTTCTGGAGTCTAGAAGTCCAAAATCAAGCGTTTGTTCCTTCTGAGACTCTGGGTACAACCCTTCCTCAACTCTTCTTAGCTTCTAGTGGTCACTGTCAGTCATTGGTATTCCTTGGCTTGTAGCTGTGTCTCTCCAGTGTCTGCCTCTGTCATTACATAGCCTTCTCCATGTGTGTCTCTCTAGATTAACGATTTTAGACCTTTCTTATTTTCTAAAGTAAGCATTTAAAATTGGGGCACTTGGGTGGCTCAGTTGGTTAAGCGTCTGACTTTGACTCAGGTCATGATCTCATGGTTTGTGGGTTCGAGCCCCGTGTTGGGCTCTGTACTAACAGCTCGGAGCCTGGAGCCCGCTTCAGATTCTGTCTCCCTCTCTGCCCCTCCCCTACTCATGTTCTGTTTCTATCTCAATAATAAATTTTAAAATAAATAAAGCTATAAATGCTCTCTCTAAACACTGCATTAACTGCATCCTATGAATTTTTATATGTTATGTTTTCATTTTCAATCAGTTCAAATATATTTTAATTTCCCTCATGTCTTCTTAACCTACACTTGAGGTAAATTAGTATTCAGTCAAAGATTAAAAGGGAGCATTATCCAGATATCGGGAGCTCTAAATCTGTGTAACTTCCTCCTTTCTGGTTGTTTGTTCCAAAATACTAGCTATCACATTCACCTCAAACTGTTTCCTAAGTGCAGCAAGTGTGCCCTAGTCTGCCTGGGCTCTCCTTCCCTGCGCCACCATCTGGAGCATGAGGCCCTACAGAAAGCCCTGGCGGTCACGGGGCACACCTTGTTTGTTTCCTCTCTCTGGGATCACACACCTGTTTTTCATGGTCTAAAATCAGTTGTTCCCTATATTTTGTCTAGAGTTCTGGTTACTCATGGCTAGAGGGCAAGTTCTATGGCAATGCCTTCTACAGGGGCAAAAGTGGAGGCCATGGAACATTTTAAAAATTAAATGAAATAGTGGCTTACAGAAAAGTGCATGTTATTTTTATCTGTGTGGACCTCTTCACTATGTTAAATATGAGAGAATTATGCTGAGAAGAATGAGGGAAAGTTAATATAAAGGTGACTGACAGTAGTTACTGAGGTAACAGTTTATTGATTCAACACAGTCTGTGTACTTAGATAGCTGTTACCAAGATTCATACCATTGGTTACTGTGTGGGAAGGTGGATGAGGATATGAGGGGTATTTCTGTAGCTCTGGGTAGCTTCATTTTTTTCATTGTTGCTATTTCTTCATTTTTCTTAAGGAAGTTCTATTTTTTCTAGGTTTCTAAATTGCCTTGTCTGATGTTAGGTTTGTGCCAATGTCTCTCTCTTTTCTTTTAATGAACAATGGCAGATTGGCTTCCATAGCGCCTGCTCAGTCATCCAGAAGCCTGCCTTTATTTCTCTTACCTCTCAGTTGATTGGTATTCACACTTAGTCTGCTGGACATTTTGTAAGTATTTCCTGGGAGTCAAGTGGGCTTTGGCTGATTATTCCTTTTTTTTTTAAACTCTTTTTTTTTTTTAAGTCTATTTATTTATTTTGAGAGAGACAGAGACAGTGTGAGTAGGGGAGGTGCAGAGAGAGAGGGAGAGAGAAAATCTCAAGCAGGCCCCGCATCTTTACCGTGGAGCCCAATGTGAGGCTCGAACCCATGAACTGTGTGACCTGAGCCGAAACCAAGGGCCACTTAACTGACTGAGCCACCCAGGTGCCCTGACTTTGGCTGATTGTTACATTGTTGCTCTGGTTAGTCATAGCCCTTTTTCAGTTATGTGTATGTGCAGACATGATTATCCATCTCTTCAGTGTTTTGGTTCTACTGCATATTTTCTGCGTGTAATTTTATTTCTTTATATATTTGTTTAAAAAATTTTTTTTTACGTTTGTTTTTATTTTTGAGAGACAGAGAGCACAAGTGGGGGAGGGGCAGAGACAGAGGGAGACAGAATCCGAAGCAGGCTCCAGGCTCCGAGCTGTCAGCACAGAGCCCAACGAGGGGCTCAAACGCATAAACCGTGAGATCATGACCTGAGCCGGAGTTGGATGACCAACCCCCCAGGCACCCCTTCTGTGTGTAATTTTAAAAGATATTTTGTGTTCTAACCCCAGGGCCAGAGCTAGGGTGAAGAAAGAGACACATAAGGCACAAAATTTAAGGAGGTGTTCACGCTCAAGTTTGGGTAAGCCAACTCTGTACTTACATGACTCTAGAATATATTCTTCCTTAAGTTTTGTGCCTGAGGCATCTATCTTGCCTCACCCTGGTTCTGGCCCTGTATAACCCTGACCATAGTTGGGTACAGATATCTATGTAACTAAGACTTTAAAATGAGCTCTGTACAATAGCTTTCATTTAGAACATGCTTTGACTTTACTTCATCTAATAAAACAGAAGTGAGGTAATATTTCAGGAGAATTAATCCCATGCCTAAAGTAATTCTTTTTTTTTTTTTAAATATAGAACACTTCACGAATTTGTGTGTCATCCTTGCACAGAGGCCATGCTAATCTTCTCTGTATCGTTCCAATTTTAGTATATGTGCTGCCGATGAGAGCACATGCTTAAAGTCATTCAGTAGCCCAAAATTTTATCCATAAGGAACAGTAGCCAGAATTTTGGACCATGTTATTTATATTAACCACAGTAGGTCACTGTTGTCCTTCTGTTCCTTTGTTTCTTGTGATGACATGGCTTGTCAGTAGGAAGTTCATTCCGGCAGAATCACACTTAAACTTTTTGGTAATCTGACTACTGATCAACTCTGGCTGATACCATGATATGCAACACCTCCTGACTCTGGCAAACAGTTGGTTAGAAAATGGATGAACCTGTAACCTGTCAAAGCTTAAGAATACTCCGTTTGTGTTGCTGCCAGTTCAGTGGGTGGGGATAGGAGGACAATTCCATCCTGTTCCACTACCTGTTCTTTGGGTCCCATAGTGCTTGCATTGTCCCTGAGAAAGGCTAGGATGTGAGTGGAAGGTCAAGTGGTGGGACTCTGCCTTCCATCTCTCCATACATTTACAGCAGAATAGCTGTTTTGTTTGTCTTGCTTTTTTCTGTTTCATGAACTGGAGTTCTGTATGAAAGGTCTGTGTGGAAGGGACTCATTGAGAATGGGAACCACCGATGAATGTGGAACAGTACTTCTATATGCTAAAGTCTCCTGAGCCAAAAAAGAACACTCTATTTTGCTTCTTCTGTTCCACTTACTAGACAGCTTTCCCACCCTCCTAAAAACCAGTGTTCAAAATAGCCTTAAATGTTAGTGTTCAGGGCACTGTCCAGATCAATAGTGTGTTTTTATTACATCTTAAAATGTTTTCATTCCTTGTTTTTAGATGCCAATGAGAGCAGGTGCCAGCAAGCGAAGACAGAATTTGGTGTTGGCCTGAGATCTGGGGGAGAAAATCACCTCCGGCTTCTTGAAGGAACCCCCTCTCTCCAGTTGTGTTGGGCTGCTTGCTGCCAGGATTCTGCCTGCCATGCCTTTTGGTGGTTAGAAGGGATGTGCATTCAGGCAGACTGCAGCAGGCCCCGGAGCTGCCAGGCTTTTAGGACAGACTCTTCCAATTCCATGCTGGTGTTTTTTAAAAAATTCCAAACTGCAAATGATTTGGGCTATCCACCTGAAGAAGATGAACCACATATTCTGGAGCTAGGTTGGAGCAGGGTATTTTGGAGGAGACAGAGTCCACCTAGAGCTCCACTTGGACCCACTGTATCTTCTGTTGACCAGCAGAGCTTAATCAGGAAGCTTCGGAAGAGAGAGAGTCCCAGTGAAGAAGTAACTACACATATAGTGACACAGCATTCTGAAATGAATGACTCCAAGGAAGGAGGTGATCTGAATACCAGTGGTTCTGCAGAGGTAAGCTTATTATGAATAAGGAGCAGACAAACTGTTGAGTCTGCTTTCACATTTGACACACACGAGCAGTGAAGCTGCCTGTGGGAAGCACTCTATGCTGAGGAGTATATGTATAAAGCTGCTTGGTGTCATCTTTGTGGGTGTTGCCCAGATGTTACAAGCGTAGTTGGACCTCAGAGATGTTCACTACATTACAGGTCTGACCGTTGTTTTGGTAAAAGCTGAAATCTGCTCGTTATCTAGTCTAAGCTGGTTCTTGACTATAGGTAAATGTAGTTGTGAGTTGTGTGGTGTCAGTCTTCACCAACAGTTCTGCAGTATTTTCTGCCAGATTGCAAAACATTTGATTGATGTGGTTGCATTCAAGCTGTCTTCCCTCTTCCCCATCTCCCATATGTAAATACATTTCCTTATGTAGTTTCTATTCCAGTCTGAAGTAGCCATTCCTGGCACCACAGACTAAGACCTGACTTACTGGGCTGGGGAGCCAGATGTGGCCATTAACCAAGAGGTCTTTGGGATGACTTCTCACCAAGCTTTGTATGCCAAGGGAGATACCACCAGTAGAGTTTATTCTGCTTGTTATGCTTCTTCATTGTTGATCTTCCTGGGCAAATGATTAAAAGGAGTGACTCACTCTGTGCTCAGCCTCCCTTGATTGCTTGACTTATTTTTGTATTTGTTTTGTCCTAGTTGTCTCTATCAAGTTGAAGCCAGAGTGGGGAAGCTACTACATGCCAGGCACTATGTGTGCTAATTGTCGTACAATGTCATTTTATTTAATTTTCATAGTAATATTCCCAAGGTGGTATTATTAGCCCTGTCTTACTAGTGAGGAAACCAAGGTCCAGTGAGGTTAAACAGTTTGATTGCGCAGCTAGTGAATAACAAACCTAGGATTAGAATGCAGATTTAATATTAGGAAAAAACCTTTCAGTGCAGTATTAGAGATAAAGTCTTAGTTTTAATATGCCCATAAACATTAGACATCTATTGTCAATGTCAAGTACTTTGCTAAGCACTAGAGATAGAAAGGTGAGCAAGATATGGCCTGTGCCCTCAGGGAGTTTATAGAGTAGTGGAGACTCAGACCCAAAGGTTGGGTATTTATAATAGTGTGTAATTATTGCATTAGTAGAGTTATATACACAATACAGTAGGAACAGAAAAGAGGAAGTGATTCATTTGAGCAGGCAGATGGTATGTATGTGCAAGGAAGACTTCACAGAAATGTTTAATTTATTTTTTTTAATTCTTTTTAATGTTTGCTTATTTTTGAGAGAGAGAGAGAGTGAGCAAGCGAGCATGAGTGGGGGAGGGGCAGAGAGCGAGTGAGACACAGGTTCTCAGGCTCTGAGCTGTCTGCACAGAGCCCGACATGAGGCTCGAAACCATGAACTGTATGATCATGACCTTAGCCGAAGTTGGATGTTTAACCGACTGAGCCACTCAGGCGCCCCAGAAATGTTTAATTTATATTATTTCTTTTTTCTCTCTAAGTGTTTATTACCTACACTAGATTATAATCCTCTTTTTAAAAATTTTAATTCCAGTGTAGTTAACATACAGTGTTAACAGTAGTTTCAGGTGTACAATATAGTGATTCAACAGTCCCATATATTATCCAGTGCTCATCAAGTTAAGTGTACTCTTAATCCCCCTCACCTGTTTCACCTGTCCCCCACCCCCCACCCCAGTAACCATCTTTAATCTATTTCTTGAAGGATGTGTAGGATTTTGCTGGGGACATAGGCACAGTGCATGCAAAGGCTTGGTCATTTGGCAAATATTTTTTGCCTATTTCCTGTGTGCAAGGTATTATACTAAGCTAGACACTGGGGATATTATGGTAAACAAGAGAGACATGATTTCTCCCCCAGCAGAGTTTATACTCTGTAAAGGAAAACAGACATTATGTTTATAATAATTAAATAATTGTAACTTGATATAGGTTTAAGAGGATAAGTGCAGAGTGCTGGAAGAGCATCTAACAGGGACTTAATTGAGACTAAGGGGTACGGTTAGGTACTTTAAAGAAAGTTTAAGTTGAGACTTGATGTGGAAGGAGTTTGGAAAAGAAGCAGGCAAAGTATTTCAAGCAGAAAGCTAACAATTTCAAAGTTTGTTAGGTGCCCTAGAGTGTGGCAAGATCAAGAAGTTGAGAGAGGCTGGTCATGTTCAACGAAGAAAGCCAAAGGTGAAAGAGGAGGCTTGTGAGCTGTAGAGAGCTTCCATGCCTTCTTAAGCTTTTGGTCTTTATCTTCAGGTCAGTGAGAAGTCGTTAAAGAATTTTAAGTAGGGGATAACTTGATCAGATATGTTGCTATGTGGTGAATCGATTGTAGAGAAGCAAGAATGTACATGGAGCAATCAAATGAGCTCTTCAAGGCAAGGGAACCATTGTACTAGAGAAAGAGGTTGAAAATACAGGAAAGGGGATAAACAACGAATAATTCCTTAAAATGATGGTTCACAAACCTTAGCACACATTAGAATTGTCTGGAGGCCTTGTTGAAAACAGTTTGGCCTCAATTCCAGAGTTTCTGATTTAGTAGGTCTAGAATGAGGCCTGAGAATTTGCATTTGTAACAGATTCTGGGGAGTGCCAGTGCTGCTGGTCTGAGAAGCACACATTCTAGTGCCTTACAGGTGAGTGGGTTTGAATCCAGAGCACAGAGGACCAAGATTAGCCTTAAGCAGAAGGAGACACATCTCCTTCATGATGACAGGAAGGAAGAAATAGGTGAATATAGGTGTAGCAAAGGTGGGTTATAGGTTCAGTCGAAGGAAATTGTGGTAGTTCTAATCTCATGCCTGTTTTTCTGTTTTTTTTTTTTTTAAATTTTTTTAATGTTTTATTTATTTCTAGGAGAGAGAGAGAGAGCGTGAGCAGGGGAGGGTCAGAGAGAGAGGGAGTCACAGACTGAAACAGGCTCCAGGCTCTGAGCTGGCAGTCAGCACAGAGCCCGACGCGGGGCCTGAACCCACGAACCGCGAGATCATGACCTAAGCGAAAGTCAGACACCCAACCGACTAAGCCACCCAGGCGCCCCCTCATGCCTGTTTTTCTGAAGTGGGGTAGATCATTTGCTGCGAGTAGAAGCGGAAGTACGTGGAATGGGCATAGGTAGGTAGTAGGCAGGAAAAGCATAGGTTTGGAGACCGTGGTAAAGGTCTGAAACAGCCATTATGAAGGCTGGGAGAGGGCCAAGCAGGTAAGGAAATAGACTGCTGGTAGCACTGAAGACGGAGAGTACGGATGTAACAGTGGTACTCGTCCCTGCAGGTCTGTGGGTCTCCTCAGCGGCTCTCAGCGGCCCTGTCAAGAAAAGACTGATAGTTTGATTTACCCAAGGTTGAAACTTTGCCAGTCTTGTATAGAAGGAAATAGAGGCGTGGAAATTGAGGTTATTGTCAAGAGAGTGGATTAGGAAGATAGAAAAAGAGGCAAATATAAGAGGGACTGACTGACAGAGATATGATAGAGGAGTTTGGCATTTAGAGTTTTCCATGATGAGAGACAGATCTAGGAGGCACAAGTAAATGTGTGTCCTGTAAAACCGGAAGTAGTCATCAGAGGATGGGATATATATTTTTAAGTTTGTTTATTTTGAGAGAGAGAGGGAGGGAGGGAGCAAGCAAGCAGGAGAGGGACAGAGAAAGAGGGAGAGAGAAAATCCCAAGCAGCACAGAGCCTGATGCAGGGCTTGATCCCATGACTGTTAGATGATGACCTGAGCCAAAATTGAGTTGGCCACTTAACTGACTGAGCACCCCAAGGATGGGATATTTGAATCTAAGATCATCTGAGATCTTGGAGGTGGAGAAGTTCTGGTGACTACAGGATCTAGGTTGCAGCTGTGGAAGAGGGTTGCTGGGGTAGAGTAGAGTAGTTTATTGGAGACAAGGAGCTCAAAGAACTCAGGAAACTAAAAATAAATGTTGCATGAGTTATCCATGTAGACACTGAGATAGAGTTTATGATAATGATGATGATAGCAATAGCTACTATTTACTGAATGAGCACTTACCATTCTCAGCCCTTGACATGTTTTAACTTTTTTAATCCACATGACAACTCCTATGAAATACTATTAACTGTCTCTTTTTTAAATGAGGAAACTCAGGAAAAGAGAGGTTAAGGAACATGGCCAAGGCAATAATAGCTAGTATATGGTAGTACCAGGACTTGAACCCAGGCACTCTGATTCTATCCAGAGTCTGTCCTCTTAACCCTGTTACTGTTTAGGCAGGGATTTGGGGTAAAGAGGAGTTTTGCGAGCCAGTTGTCAAAGTCCTCAGCACAACAGAAGGAGTAGTGAGGGAGTTGGGAGAGGACAGCGTGGTAAGAGTTGAATTGCAGTAAGATGGCAGAGGAGAGAGGTTTTACAAAAGTAGAACAGCAATGGTTTGCAAAAGGCATTGGGAAGGGCAGTGAATGAAATACTAACCTGCCTTCACTCATGAAGTATGGGAGAGTAAAGAGCCCTCATATTGCAGAGATACATGGGAAATAGTATACTTAGGGAAGGGCACGCTCACAGTTAAGAATAGGGGTTCAAGGACCACTTTATGGGCATGTGACCTGTGCACTTGTACAAATCCTCACACTTAGGCCTTTCTCAGTTTTATGTGCTGCTATCATTGTCTTGAAATTCTTAATAGTTTTTGAGTAAGGGACCCTACATTTTTGTTTTGCACTGTATCCTGTATATTATGTAGGCTGTCCTGCAGGAGGTATAGGGAATAAAACAGGAAATACTGAGCTTCTAGGTGGTTTTTGATCATGGAATAGAAATTCTAGGTGATTAAATGAAATTTTTGGTAGAAAGAAAAGTAAGTTAGGTTTCACAGGAGAAGAAGTGTAGGTCTTTTAGGGAAAACAGTTGTGGTGTTAAATGTTTAACAACCAGGTCCCTCCCTTCCCGCAAAACCCAAAAACAAGCACTGAGTTGTAGATGTTGTCCATCATGGTGTAAATACACCCACCATGACCATTT